TTGCTTCCCTGGACCCCCGCCACGCAGACCACATCGGGGGTGGGGTCCTCCGGGAACCCTGTTCCTTTGTCCTTGCTGTGGTCTGGGACCGCCCTGCCTCCCGTCTCCCCTCCCTCCCAGCCGGCCCCCAGGCCCTCTCAGGTTTCGCCATATGTCTGGTGAGGTCACCATGGCCAAGACGGGGATGTCCTTGGGGGCCTCCGGGCCTGCTCCCCTCAGAGATCAGGTTGCCAGCACTGGTCTCAGAGAGTGACTTCGAGGCCTCTTCCTGTCCTTGTGATCTCCAGGGAGAGATTTATCCTCCCAAGGCTGTGGTCACAGGTCCCAGGCAGATGGTGGGTCCCCGTGGGCACCCCGCAGGCAGCTGCTCCCTGTTTTATGCTTATGCAGTGTGTTGTCTACAGTTACTGGTGATGTGTGTTGGGGACTCATCACTAGGGCAGACTGCCTGGATCTGAGGCCCAGCTCTGCCCCTTCTAGCTGCTGGCTCTGGGGAAGCCAAGAGATGTGAGTGCTGGAGGCTGGAAGTGGTGCTGGCATGCCCCCCTGCCCCCCCGCCCCCACCGGGTAAGGGGTGTGGCTGGGGCCTGGATGGCAGGTGCTGCCAGGTGTGTGTATTGATATGGATGAATGTGGAAGATGACACGTGTGGGAAAACAGAAGAGTGTGTGCCACTTTTAGGGACGTGCCTGTCATCCAACCTGTAAAATGGTATCCTTCATTGCTTCTCAATTCACACGTGCGTGGTAAGTGATCAAAGGCATCATCTCCAGGGCGGGCGGTGCCTTGTGGGGGGGGCGTGGCAGGTGCACAAGTGGACCACCTCTCTCTAATGATTCGTTGCTTCCTGTTTCTACATGGGGTGGGGGTTGATAATCACACGGTATGTGGGTAAAGTGAACTAGCCCCAGGTGCACACTGAGGAGGCTTCGCACAGCCATTCGCCTGAGTACCTACCACTCCGGTCCAGAAGGAGACCGTTTGCAGCACCTGAGGGCTTGTCTTGTATCCCTTCCCAGTCTGTACCTCCCCAGATTTGATGCCTTTCTTTTAGGAAATGGTTTGAAGCAAACTTGGCTTAGTGCTGAAATCTGCCCAAGTGGAACAATGATGTGTCTGTGGGTGTTCATTAAATTTTTCTTTATCTTTTTCTGGATCCTGGCTGTATCTCATCTTCATCATCATAGCAAGAAGAGGAGGACTTGAGCAGAGGTGGGGCGGTGGCCCGTGCTGACGGGCGGAAGGGACAAGGTGCGGACAGAGATTCCGTGGCCGGGGCCGAGTCTCGGGCAGCTCTGGCCGGGCTGAGAACGGCCTCCTCTCTGCGGAGATTTTCAGGATGAGGGGCTGAGAAGCTGTCAGGGCTGAGACAAGGAGTTGCCCCAGAGGGTCCCTTCAAGCCTTGTCTGCACAGAGGGCATCGGAGCCGCCTGGAAAAGCCGGTTGTGCCTTGGGTAGCGTGAGGGCTGGGCCGAGAGCCCCTGCCTGCCCATTCTTTCCGGGTCACGAGCTGCCCATGGAGCTCCTCACACTGGCCTGTTTGCGGCTCCTCTGTGGGTGGCCCGAGCCTCTCATTGTCCTAGCACAATAGCGGTGGCCCTGCTCGTGTGAAGAAACCGGGACAGGAAGCCCAGATCTAGGTCAGCCACGCTGCATGCCCAGCTCGCTGCTCTTGCTGGCTGTGCTCGGCCAGGCCGCCTTTGTCTCCCTGCAGCCTGAGGAGCCTGGGGCTGGATTTCCCGGCTGCACCCCGGGCCCTGTTAGAGCGTCCTCTAGGAACTCCTCTCCTGTCCTCTCCACCCACTGCCCTTTAAGAAGAAAAATCAGCAGGCTCCCAGGGGGCCCGAGTGGAGGCTCTGGCCGTGTGTCAGGCCTGTGCCAGGCGCATCCTAGCCCTTCCTGTGATTTCTGAGCACTCACTATGTGCCGGGCGCTAGGCCAGGCCCTGGGGCAGCAGCTGGGAACAAGGGGGGCAAGGCCCCTGCCCTCATCGAGCTTCCGTTCGCTTTATGCTGGTACGCTCTGAAAGGCAGGACGGTGCTACGCTCTCCGTATCTGGGAGGAGTAAATCGAGACTCAAGAGAGGCTGATGCACTGTCCTGCGGTCACGTGCCCAGCAGGAAGGAGGGAGACTGCAGTTTAAACCCAAACCATCAGCTTCCACACCTGGCTCCTGTCATTGGGTGAGGGGGGCCGTTGCATCCCAGCCAGGCCCCCTTCTCACCTGGGCCTTTCCCTTAAGAGCCGGTGTAGATGGCTTGATCTCCGTCCTTTCATTTGTCAGACGTGCTCTTAATGCAAGACGGGAAGGTGGTAAGTGCAGGAGGGCCTCATGCAGGTGATGTTTGAGCTAGGGCCTGATGAATGAGAAGAAATTGGCCCAGAGGGGAGAGCTGGGAGAGACTGTCCTGCGAGTGGGAAGAGCATGTGCAAAGGTCCTGAGGAAGGAAATGTGCCTGGCAGGTGGAAGGGGTAGAGAGAATGAAGGCGTGGCTGACGATTATTGAGATATGGGGGGGGGGGATGGAATGCCGGAGGGTGAGTTCAGAGACATTAACTAGGACAAGGTCATGGGGACCTTATGGGATGCTGTGGAAGGAGCCATGGAGAGTTTTAAGACAGGATCTGATTTACATATTTAAAAGGACCCCTCTGATTGTGTGGAGAAAGGATTTTTGGTGGGAGGGGGCTAGGGGGAACAGGGAGGAGGTTACTGCATTGGTCCAGGCAGGAAATGATGGTGACTTGGACCAGGTGGGTGGCTGAGGAGGTGGGGAAAAGTATGGTCAGTTTTTTCCTGTCTGTTAAAGGTGCAGCTGATAGCATCTGCTGACAGATGGAAATGGTGTCGGGGGCGGGCCTTGGCTGGAGCGTCCGAGAAGGTGCTGTTAAAGTCAGGCAGGGAAGAGCTTGGCGGTGTGGATTGGAGGGGGATCAGGAACTCGGGTTTGGGTGGGTTAAATTTGAGATGCTCCTTGGACGTTCAGGTGGGCATGTGGAGTTGGCGGAAATCCAGGTAAGAACTTGGGCTTCAGGGGAGAAGCCCGGGCCGAGGAGGTAAACAGAGGTGAGCGGAATGGTGGAGAGTCCTCTGCAGTGAGTGTGGGCGGAGGCAAGGCTGCTGTGTTCTCTGTCCCCGACTTTCCTCTCTGTGACCTGCCTTGTGGAGACCTGCAGGTGGCCAGCTCCTCCTGACAGCCATGGTCGTTTGTCCGGGTGACGGGAAGGCACCCGACAGCTGTCACCTTCCCTTGCTTCCCTCCATCCTGGACGGTCCCCTCCATCTCCCCACCACTCGTAGATCTACCCAGACAAGCGTGGTTGGATGAGAAATGCCCTTAATTAACCTGCAGCTGAGCTCTGTGACAAGGACAGTGTGTGCTCCTCCGCCCCCGCCCCCCTCGTGGAATACCCCGTGTTATAATCAGCCACCCAAGGCGGGCAGCTGGCTGGCCACACGGCTCATCCTGGCCCTGTGGCTGTGACAGGACCATGAAGTCATCTTTGCAGGGTCTCACCTGGCCATTGCCGGGTCAGTCAGGGCCACATCCTAGAGTCCAGGCTAACCATGCGGGGTTTGCTGCAGGTGACCAGCCTTGGCCTCCCCTCGGGGCTGTCCCCCACCTCCCCCTGCCTGCCCCATATCCGTTCTGTCCCTTTGCCTGCCTGCTGGACCTTCCCAGTAGCTCCTCTTCTGTCTGCTCTCCCGCCCACCAGCCAGGCCACCGTCATCTCTCAGACGACTACACCTTCCCCCCGGGCCCCCCACTTTCATGCTCGACCCCGAAAATTTAGTTCCTCACAAAAACGGAAGGCTCTTTGCCAACATTTAAAAACTGGGGGACTTTGCTTTTAAGAAATTGTAGCTTCTGGTTTCTGTCGGAAAAAAACCCCCATTATAACCGAAACCCAGACCCCCTGGTGACACTGGGCCCGCTGCCCTCCCACCTAGTCACGCCTTGTGGGGACGAGCGGCCACCCTTTAGGCGGGTGCGTGCTGCCCGTTCCCCACAGACCCCACAGACCCCATCCTCTCCTCTGTTGTCTGTCACGGACGACATGATTTCTCTCTTCTGGGCCCTGGAAAAAAGTGGCAGAATGGCTGTGGTCCATCCATGCAGTAGGACCCTGGGCAGCTGTACAGGCAACCGAGGCACCCTCGCCGCCCCCCCCCGCCCCCGCTGTGGTGATGGGAAAGGGCGCTAAGCTGGAGAGAGCAGAAAAAATGGGCAGCAGATCCTGTGTGTGCTGCCATTTTCTGGAATATAAAAAGGGGGAAAATAGGAATATATGTGTGTGTATGTATATACATAAAAATGTGTGTTTGTTTTTCCAGCTTTACTGAGATACAGTCGACACATAACATTGTGGAAGTTTAAGAAGGACGATGTGTTGGTTTAATACACTTACATATTGTGCAATGATTACCACCACGGTGCAACTTTCAAGCATATGCTACAGTGTTATTAACCATAATCACTGGGCGTACGTTAGATCCCCTGAGCTTGCTCATCTTCTCCTGGACGTTTGTACTCTCCGACTGGTGTGTGTCTGTATGTTCACATAAAGATCATCTGGAAGGATATGCTGGAAACCAGTAGTTGGTGCCCTGTGGGAGGTGGGGAGAGGAGGAACTAGGTGGATGAGGCCCGGGGTGTAGGAGAGAGGCTTTTGTATTTATGACTTTTGAACCATGTGAGTGTGTTATAATTTAGAAGTTAAATTTAAAATAAAGAAGAAAAAGGGAAAGAGTGATTATCTGAGAGGGCCCGTGGGAGATGAAGCAGGGCTTTGTTTTCTGCACAGCACCCGGTGCAACAGATGCTCGGTAAACATTTGTTGCTTGAATGGCAGCGTAGTTTTTCCTTATTCTCTGCCCATGGCCCTGGACTTTGCTGCCTCCCAGTCCTCATTGGCATTTGACCTTGTGGTCCTTCTTTTGGGCCATCCCCGGGAGAGCAAGGCGTGGATACTCACCTCTCCCTGCTTCTCTCCTCCAGGCGTTCCTGCATCGCATCCGGCAGAATGTGGCGGACTCGGTGGAGAAGGGCCTCACGGAGGAAAACGTCAAGGTGTGGACACTTGGGTGGGCCCCTTTGCACACGGTCCCCACTGCTGGGCGCCTTGCTTCCTGCCAGCGTGATGCTTAGGGGGTGCTGGGGGGTCGGGGGCGCATCCACTCTGCTGGCAGCTGGCCTGGTCTTCCTGCACATGCTCCCTGCAGCCCCGAGAGGACTCTCAGTCCTGGGACCGATCCGTGCCTGGTGGATGTCAGGAGGGCGCAGCCTCAGGCTCCCACTCCCCAACTCAAGACCGTCTCCCCTTGCTCAGCATGACCATCCTGTCTTCCACCCTCCTCGTGCCAGGCCCCCTGGCTTTGAGCCAGCGGAAAATCCCTTCCCAAGCGCCCCTGGGAGCCTGACACCTCCAGCCCCCTCCTGGCGGCTCCAGCCCCTGCCCTGCACTGGGCATTGAATGTGGAGGCTGGATGAGTGATCGGGCCAGGCTTCGTTTTGGCAGTGGCTCCGCGGAGTTTCGGGAGGACGTCAATAGGCCCTCTGTGTGCATGGTGGAGGCCCCAGTGCTCCCTGGGGCTGGCTTTCTCGTGTGACCTCACTCTGGAAAACTGCCTTCTGTCCTCGGGGCTCAGGGTCCTGGTCTTAGGAGGGAAGGGAGACAGGGCAGGGAGGGAGTCAGAGGGGCCAGCGTGTGCAGCGTACAAAGGACTTGGTGAAGCGGGAGCCGCCTCCTGCCCGCCCACATGTCCTGATTAATCTGGACAGTGACCTTGTACATTGACAGTTCTGAGCCCAGTGTTTGGGGTAGGGACGCAGAGGCTTAGAGATGTAAAGGGACCCGTTCATGGTCACTGCGTGGCTGGCCCCTGTAGCGCTGAGATTGGAGCTTTGTATACATTCATTCATTCACATGTTCATTCAGCAAGCATTTACTGAGCACTTACTGTTTATTACTTCTATTTATGACAGATTATTACAACTTAAAATTTATCATTTCAAATTGTTACTTTATCCGTTTTTTTTAAAAAATTACCTTTTTAATGAGGTATAACTCACATACAGTAAAGGGTGCAGTCCCAAGTGCGGGCTCCTCTGTGACCCCTTCCAGCAAATGCCCCCTCGCCAAGGATAGCCGCTGATTGGTTAGCATTGATTGGCTTTGCCTGTCTTTGTATTTTATATAAAAATGAGCTTTCTCATCACGTCTGGCATCTTTTGCTCACTTATGTCTGTGAGGTTTACCCATGTTGTAGCCATGATCCATCCTTTTTCATGTACAAATGTACTGCAATTTACCATCCATTTTCCTGTGGATGGATATTAAGTAATTTCCAGGTTTGGCTATTATCAAGACTATTCTTGTTACATCTTTTGGTGGATACAGGCTCTCATTTCTTTTTAGTGTAAATTCGGGAGACAGATATTTATTTTGAAATTTTACAGCCATCCCTGGAAGCAAGTATAACAGTAGGACCTATCATGTGTGTCTTTGACAGAAGCACAGATTCAACCATGTGATCTTGACAGAACGAGAGAGAAAACCAGCCAAACAATGCGGTGATTCTTCCCCTCGCTTGGCGGCATGAGCGTCCCCCCAGGGCGAGGCTTGCCGGGGCTCAAACTGTGGGCCGTAGAGGGGTGGTCTTCAGCCCTCAGCCTCCCCCGCCCTCCCTCAGGCCGTCTCCCTCTGTGTACTTTCTGGTGCCTTCTCAGGGTCCTTCCGCCTGTCTTCATCCCTTCAGGCCTTGACTCAGATGTTACCGTCTCAGAGTGACTGTCCCTGGCTTCCTTATTTAAATTTGCAAACTTCTGCCCTGTCCTGGGACTCACTTCCTGTTTTGTTTTTTTCTTGTTGCTTCTTACCACCTAGAAAACTAGTGTTATCTGTTTGTTGTCTGTACTCTTTCACTAGAAGTCACCTCCATGGGGGGAGGGCACCTGTCTGTTCCCTGCTGGATCCCCAGGGCCTCTGACAGTGCCTGGCATATAGTAGGTGCTCAGTCAGTGCTTGCTGAATGAATGAATGCATAAGAAACCCTGGAAGGAACCGTAAGGCAGCGGTGACACTGGTCGTCTCAAGCCATGGCGAATGCGGAGTGGGGAGATGGGTGGGAGAGGGGCTCCCCACCGGACTTATTTTACTGTGTTTTGAATTTTGATTCACGCGAGTGCCTCTTCAAAATTAAATTCAAAATGTATCTAAGAAGATTCGGCTGTTGGTGGCAGACACACAAGGCAACATACAGACGATGTAGCAGAGAACAGTATGCTTGAAAACCTATATAATTTTATTAACCAATATCACCCCAATAAATTTAATTAAAAAATGCATCTATTTTTTTTTTAAAGAGGCAGAAAAAGGAATTTATGCCGTTCAAAAGGACCTGAAGTAAATGAAAGTCTCCCCTAAATCTCCTTCCCCGAAGCCCCTTCAGTTACCGGTTTCTTCTCTTGTCTGGGTCGCCTCTGCTACTGCCACATAAAGAAGAGTGGCCTTTTTGTGGGTTATTTCACACGCATTCTGTTTGGCACCAGGATTCTCCCCCCCCTCCCCCAGACAATATAGATCAAGGATCCTTCCAGGGGTTCCTATCCATTTATTCAGATCTGCAGGTTCTTTTCGTAGGCTGCATAGTATTTCAGGATGTGGAATGGAGTTCATTGTAACCGGTCCCGTTTATTTAACTATTTGACGAGTCCTCTTTAATGACCTTTTGGGCTTTCCCCCAATTTCTGCTACTACAGATAAGGCTGCAGTGTATGTCGGTGGCCATGTACCCGCCCACCCAGTCCTCAGCCTCGGCCCAGTTAACGCTTTGGGCTGGGTGATTCTTTACTTGGGGGGTGGTGTGGGGGGGCAGGGCTTGGCTTGTTCTGTATATTGTAGGATGTTTAGCAGCATCTGTGGCCTCTGCCTATGCGATTCCAGCAGCATCCTGCCCCCCAATTTGTGACAAGAAAATGCCCCCAGACATCGGCAAATGTCTCTTAGGAGGCAAAATTGCTCCTAATGGGAAAGGACTGATTGAAAGATCAAATTCTAGAGCGTAGACTTGCTGGGTGAGAGTGTATGCGCATTTCTGGCTTTATAGCTATATAAGGCCACCCATATGTTGTTTGTGAGAGTGTATTTCAAACACCCTTCCCTATTGCATTTTCTTCTGCTGCATCATTGTCACAGTTCATTGAAGTTCCCTTGTTATTTTAAAAATCAGCCTGTGGTTGGACCTAACGTGCGGCCATGATAAGGCTGTGATGAATGTCTGATACATTCCTCTCTGCTCGCTGAGTGTATAGCCCGGGTCTGCTGCACACGGGACTGCGTGACCTTGGCAGTGTTAATTGTTTTCTCTGAGCCTCTGTTCTTCATCTACAAACTGGGGATAATAACAGTTTCTACCTCATGGAGTTGGAGTGACGATTAGATGCCATAAATGCACATAAAGTTCTTAGCCCAGGATTAGGCATCAATCCTATTTAGTTAATGTTGCCAATATTTTTGTTATTGTCCCTATTTTTACTAGTGTAAGCCAGCTCCAGGGTGGGAGAGTGCCTCTTTGACCACAGCTTCACCTGAACTGCAGGGGATACATGTGTTTTATTCTTGATTTTGCTTGCCCTTTGTGCCTAGATTAACGTTGTCCTTGGGCCGCACTCTTCCTCACAGATCCTGTTCTCGAACATTGAAGACATCCTGGAAGTTCATAAGGATTTCTTGGCTGCGTTGGAGTATTGTCTACATCCGGAGCCTCAGTCTCAGCACGAACTTGGGAATGTTTTCTTGAAATTCGTGAGTACCGTGCCAAGCCCCTGTCGGAGCCTGCCGCTCTTGGGAAGTGGGCTTCTCCCCTGGGTGAGAAGTAGGGGTGATCGTGCCTGCCCCCTTGGGTGGGTGGAAAGGCTCAAGGAGATAAAGCAATAAAGGGAGTACCATAGAGCCGTGGGTCATAGCCAGGGGGTGATTTTACCCCTGGGGATGTTTGGCTAGTCTAGAGACTTTTGATTGTTACAGCTTTGGAGGGGGTAAGGGAGGTGGCGCGGGACAGCTACTGGCTTCTGGTGAGTGGAGGCCAGGGATGCCACCAAACATCCTACAACGCACAGCACAGCCCTGCAACAGCATTATTCGACCTCAGATGCAAGCAGTGTTGGAGTGAGAACCCCTGGTGTATAGGAAGCCCTGGGTCTGCCATGGCTCTCACCTAGTCACTGCCGTTGTTCTCATCACTAGCTCCCGTCTCTGAAGGATCACGCCGTGGTGGGCAGAGTCCGGGGTGACGCCGTCTGGTGCAGCCCCACCGTCAGCAAGCTGCGGCCCGGGGAAGCCACTGGTCGCGTAGGGCGGGGAGTGCGTTCCTCCCGGCGGGCTGGGCTGCCGAGCTGCTCACGAACTGTGTTACTCTCAGCGAGCTGTTTGAACTGGTCTGTGCCTCAGTGTCCTCACCTGTAAAATGGGGAAAAAACGAGACCTGCCCGTGATGTTGTTGAGGATCGAGTGAGATAGTGTACGGAGAGTGTTCAGAGCAGCTCCTGGCCCACAGTCAGTGCTCGGTAAATGTCGGGCGCTGCCTTTCTGTTTATGCAGCCCCCATTCCTTAGTGTTTGACACAGGGTAAACGCGAGGGCAAGGTTGGGCGCAGTGAGATGGGCACTTGTGGGGGGTGTTGAGCAGGGCAAAGATGGGATCTGCGTTGGGTGTAGAGGGCCCTGTGGCTGCTGGGAGGGGGAGTGGGGTGTGGAGGAGGCAGGGAGACCAGGAAGAGGTCACTGTGCCTTTTTAGACGGTGGTGTCCAGGAGCAGGGGGTAGGGTGGGGGACAGTGACAAGGGGCAAGTAGGCGTGGCAGTTGTGGTTCAGGAAATGGTTTTTAAATAGGCAAATAAAAAGAATGGGGGGGCCCAGGCTTCCCTTTGGGTTGGTGAACCCTTGTTTCCCTGGACCTAGACTACTTAGTAGGTTCAAATCCCTGTTCCACCTTGGGCAAGTCACTTCGCCTCTCTGGACCTCAGTCTCTAATTCTGTAAACTGGGGTAAGCATAGTACCTGCTGCATGGTTCTGTCATGAGGATGAATGAGTTAACGCAAGTGCAGCACTCAGATCCAGCCCAGCCCCGAGCTGATGCTGTGTGAGTGTCCGCCGGGGGTGCTGGTCCAGCTGGGGCAATCAGGGAAGGCTTCCAGGAGGAGGAGGCCACCACGAAGTGCTGACACCTGAGAGTGGGACAGTCCATATTTTAGCCCAAGTGGGGGAAGGGGTCCTCAAGATGCACTGTCTGCTTGCCAGTACCCCAGGCCCTCTAGTCCCCCCACTTCTCTGCCTGAGCCACCGAGGTATGGTAAGCAGGTTTCACTGTTGGTCAGCCAGTGAGGGTCTCTGGCTCCCAAATGTCCCCTTGGGCTCTCCCCACAGTGCAGAGGGGCAGGGGGCAGACAGCTGGAGGAAAGAGGGTGGGGAGTTTCGTGCCCAGGAGGCAACCTCTTTTGCATACGGCTCCCCTCTGCACTGCCAGGACCCTCCTCACGTAGCCCCCTCAGCCTGGCCATTGACGAAGGTAGCGCTTACCGTGGGAATCCTCATGTGCCCGTGGTTGAAGTTCAGGCCTTTGTGGGAAGTCACCCTGGGCTGGGACTGTCCCTGAATCCTAAGAACCCAGCACCCATCCTGCCTGGTCCCTCGAGGTCGAGGTTTTTAGAGCCTGGGTGCGTTGCCTAGCCTCTTGGCTCTGCTGCTTCCCAGCTCGTGATGCTGGAAGAATGGCCTGACCTGGCTGTGCCTCAGTTTCCTCCGCTGTGAGGTAGGGGTAGTGAAACCACCTTCTATGGTGGTGGAGAGGATTAAAAGTAGCAGCTCCTGGCACATTCATAAGTGCTCAGTAAATGTTTGCTCATTTGCGCTATGTACATGTTTGTTCAGGGAACCCAGCGTTCTCTGACGCCTTGAAGGGTTGTCTGAGGCTCTTGGTGATTTACTAGACCTCGCCAGGCCCTGCCGGCTCCTGGGACCTCACTGTCGCCCCCGCAGCCGCCCTGGCCTCCTCTCTGCTCTGGAACATGGGGAGCCATCCCGTGTCGGGCCTTTGCGGGCCTTTTTCCCCGCTCCTGGACCAGTGCCCTCGGCCATCCCCCCGACTTAGATCCTCCCCACCTTGAAATCTTTACGGAAACGCCCCTTCTCTGAAAGCCCTTTCAGGCCCCTTTGTTTCGGGATGTCACGCTCCCCCACCTGCCAGCCCCCTCCCCTTATTATTGTGAGGGGCCCTTGTCACCCTCTGATGTATTGGATATTGTGCTTCTTTTTGTTTGTTGTCTGTTCCCCCTAGAATATCAGTAGCATCCCCCCTAGAATATCAACAACATGAGGGCAGGGACTTTGTCATGTCCAGTGCTCTGCCTCTGCATCGAGAATAACACCCAGCCCTAAGCTTACTCCACAAGCCAGCAACCTGAGAGAAAGGTAGAATCCAAGGTCATGCCTCTAGAGGGGGAAGAGCTGGGATTTGAACCCTCCTAAGGGCAAAGCCAGAATTCATCGATTCACACACTATTTATAATTTCTGCCATATCTCGGTACCCCTCATATTGTTAATTTGATTCATCTTTTAAGAAATTAGTTTCACTTGAAAAAAACTGAGGCATTTAAAAAGGGAAATTTGCATCATCATTGGAAATGGAAAATGATTGCTAAAAATAGAAGGAAACCGTAAAAAGAAATGCAATAGAAACCAAGCTGAGTTACCGCACTCTGTCTAGAAACTCCCCCACCTGGGTTTCTGAGCTGGAGGCCTGCCCTTGGTTTGATCAGAAGGAAGGTTAACAGTGTCAGACGGTGTTCCCGTCAGATCACACGGAGCTGAGACCCCCTCCTTGAGGTTATTGGGACAATTGAAAAAGGAGTCATCTTTCTCCGTGTGTGATTCAGTGTTTTTTAAATTAAAACCACTTTTTTAATTTAAAGTCATCACCCCTCTCTCCCTCCACACTCATGGAGGATCTCACTCAACGCCTTTTGCAAGCAGCCGCTGCTACAGGTTGGGTTTCTGGAAGCTGGAGATTTGCGGGCAGGTGGTTGGAAGCTGCCGCAGGAGAGGTGGCGCAGTCCTGACTGGGAGGAACTCTGGAGCTGGGGTGGCTCTTCAGGTCCCCCTGAATTGCAGCGATGGGAACAGGCCTCCGCACCCTGTGTTGCCTGGTTCCTGGATGAGGGCAGTTCCTGGAGACGGATCACTGGGGGCTGTGGGTGCCTCTATCCTGATGGGGCCCGCGTGGCTCGCCGCAGCATCCCCCACAGCAGGGCCGCCAGGCCAGCGCCTGCCCGGGCTCGGTGACCCCCTGCTGAGGCAGTGGTGGTGGGGCACAGAGCCCTCCGGGGGGGGGCATCAGACCCAGTGAGGGCCCTAGCCCACAGACCGGCCCCTGGGGGGTGCCACGCCCATCAGTGGATGGTGGGAGAACCCCTCACCCCCTGGCCCCCAAACGCAGCCACTACTACTGACGTGATCACAAACTAGCCCCGAGTGAACGTTCTCTCGGTGCCGGGCCCTGTCCTCGGTGCTTTAGGTACATGAATTTGTTACAACAACCTGAAGCAGTGGGTGCTGATATTTTACCCACTTCACAAATGAGAAAATGAGGCCCAGAGAGAGGAAGTTACCGCGCAACCTCACACAGCCAGTAGCTGTTGGAGCCAGGGTTTGAGCCCACGTATTTGGCTCCAGGGTTTGGATTTTTCACCATCTTACATGATAAAGTCTCCTGAGATACATACTAAGCACTGACTATGGGCCAGGTATGGTACCAGGCCCTGCGGACGCTGCCCAAAGTAAGGCAGAGTTGCTCCCTGCTGCCGTGAGGCTCATAGACCAGAGACATGGAGGGCGAGGAAGTGAACAGAGGTGGTCGTTTCAGATGGCGGTGTGGGCTGTGAAGGACATAAATGCGGATGTGAGAGGGGTGACTAATCGGGTTGTCTGATACTGGGAAGTGAGGGAGAGGCGGCTAGATTTAGCAAGTTAAAACATCCAGGACAGCTGAGTAAATTTGGATTTGAGGTAGATGACAAGTTTTTAGTATGCCTCATGCAACATTTCAGACATACTTAAGTGTTACTTGTTTATCTGAAATGAGAGCTCAACTGGGTGCCCGGTGTTTTATCTGGGAACCCCGGTCAGGGTGGGCCAGTGAGATGGGATGACCTGGGGGAAGGGCAGGGCCCCAGCGACGGGAGCAGGGAGACCGGGGTGGCTGGAGTCGGGGGCGGGGGCGCAGGGGCGATGGAGGGAGTCAGGGATGCCTGGGCCAGAGTCTGTGGGGACTTTATTCCAAGTTTTTAGCAGGGAAGTGGTGTGGTCTGAGTTGCGCTGGAGCCTCCTCTTCCTGCAGCTGTGTGGATAAGCTGGGGAAATCCTTGCAAAGCGAAAAACTTGGATCTCTTGCTCCCCTCTCTACCCGAGGAGATGTCCCTGTGGCCCGCTCCTTTTGCTGAGTCGCAGTCTTGCCAGGTGTGAAGCGAGTCGTTTGGAGCAGATGGTCTCTGTGGAGCCAGTGTCACTCCCCGGAGACAGCAGCCACCACCTCTGACGTTCCTTGAGTCCTCTCTGGGCGCCTAGACCCTCTCTGCCAGCTGCCCTCAGCTGGTAGCTGACCCCTTCTCCTCCTTCACAGCCCAAAACCACAGCTACAAGTTCCCTACTCACCACATCTGTGTGTGCACAACTGTGTGTTTCCTCCTGGCAAAACAATCAAAACCCACTTGGGGCCCCTCGGAGGAAATTGAACAGTTGGCCTCTGAGCTGTCAAAAGCAGCATTTCCAGATTTGCAGGGTCTCGGACCTGAGATGCAGCTGGGTTTGGGCTCAGTGGAAGGACGTGGGAGAGATGGAACCGGGCATGCTTCCTAAGCGGGGTGTTCTCATGCGCTAAATTTAACTTCTCCAAGCCTCAAGCCTTGGTCCCCTGCCCTTTTCACAGGCCGAAGGAGAGGATGAGAGGGCAGAGTGTGAGAGAAGGGGCTTGGGATGAGGAATGGCACAGCTGTGGCGATCTTGTCACCTACTCGCTCTCCTGCAATGTGGCAGACATCGCTAATCAATGAGAACATCCTGCCTCTGGGCTCCCTGGGGGCCTCCAGAATGCTCCCCACCGGCGTTTTCACCCGCTGCCCCGTTACTTGGGGTTGGCATGCGAGAATAACAGGCTTGTCTCTGTTTTCTGGCCCAGCCCCTTCCTAGCACATTTGGAGACGGGCTGGGAGACCCTGTCACCTCACCAGGCTGGGGTCAGTTTTTTCATTTTCTTTCCCCTTTCACGGTGTGCATGTCTTAGGACTGTCTTTACTGCAAGTGACAAAAGCACCAACTCAGATAGACTTAAACAAACAAACAAAAAAAGACTTTATGGCTCATACAAATGAAATGTTCAGGGGTTGGCTTCAGGCGTAGCTGGATCCAGGACCCCATATGATGGGTTCAGGACTTGGTCTTTCTGTGTCTCTAGGCTCTGCATTCCTGGGATGGGCTTCATTCTTGAGGGGTGGAGGCCGTGGAAGCCTCATGTGGTGACAGAGGTGGCCCTCGGTTTTTTGGACGACCACTAACAGCTCAGCAGCAACAGTCCAAAGAGAGCTCTCGTTACAGTGATTTTCGCATGAGGCCTTGATGGCTGCATTGGCCAGCTTGGGCCTTGTTGCCAGGACAGGGGTCTCCTTGATTGGCTTGGCCTGGGAGACATGTTCACCTGTGGTGCCTGCGAGTGGAGTGGGGTCCCGGGACTCCAAGTGTAGAGGAGGTTCCACAGGGGAAGAACTGGGGGCTACAACCAGAACAAAATGGATGCTGGGTGGGTAAGACAACAGATGTTCCAACGAAGAGCTGAGGCTGTGAGTGTGGTGGAACAGGGTCTTCTGGAAGGAGCGTGGGGCTAGTCTGAGGGCTCTCAGGCCCCGCTCTGTTCCTCCCTTCGCTTTCTGGGTTTTATTCATCAGATAGTCACAATGCCTGCTCTCTGCTGGGGACTTCAGCCCCCACTGAACCGTAGCAGTGACCTCAGCAAAGCCCGCCCCATGGAGCTCACAGTGCAGGAGGAGGATGGGGGAGACGGACGGTGCGTGAGGGAGAAGGAAGGCACACCGGGCGCAAGGCCCCTCGTGCTTCTCGGGCTGCCTGGTGCCTTCCCCCGGGGCCTGCTCCAGAACTGCGGGTCGTCTCAGCTCCCTGTGTCCTCACTCTGCCCGTCTCTTCTTTTGCCGTTAAACCCACAGGTCCGCTGCTCCGCTCTGTCATAGACCGATTTGCCAATGGGATAATGAATTTGCTAAAATCATAATGATGGTAATAATGGCTGCAACATCAATAACAGCAATAATAAGAGTAGCGAATATTTAATGAACACTTACTATGCACTGTTTTAAGCACTTGCTGTGAATTCATCTGATAATTCTCACAACAACCTTATGGTGGGGAGGTCATTATTGTCTACAGTTTTTTAAAATTGATGTTAGAGAGAGAGGAAGGGAGGGAGCAAGGGAGGGTGGGGGTTAGGGGAGAGAAAGACAGACAGACATTGATGTAAGAGAGAGACATTGATCGGTTGCTTCCCATATGCGCCCCGACCTGGGATCAAACTCACAGCCTAGGTATGCGCCCTGACCTGGAATCAAACCTGTAACCTTTTTGCGTATGGGACGATGCTCCAACCAACTGAGCCCCCTGGCCAGGGCTAGAGTATTTTGAAATGTTGTAAGTGTTCATTGTGTACCAGGTACCCTTCTCCTTGTTTTACATATACTGCTATTTAGTCTTCCAGCAGCCCAAGGAGCGGGCGGGGGAGGAGGTCTGCTATTATGTTCATTCTGTCCATAAGGGAATTGAGGCATAAGTACGTGAAGCAGCTCGCCCAAGGTCCCTCCCTACTTAGGGAGCATGGAGCTGGGTTTCCAACCCAGGTGGTCTGGTTCTGGAATCACTGTGCCCTTCATTATGCTGTGGTCCCCCTTGGAGCTGAGTGTGTGGGTTTGTGGCTTGAGACTTGTACTCGTTGCTTTTGCTTCCATTCCCATCCCCATCCCATGCTGTGACCTTAGGTTGGATGTTGGCATGGACATTAAGAGAGATCGAATCCTGGTTCTGCCCCTTCCCTAGCTGGGAGACCCTGGGCTCATGACTTTTCCTCGATTTTCCCACGTGTGGACGGGCTGTAATTTCCGTGTCAGGTTATTGTGAGGTGTTAAGGAGCCCACCCTCGTTCTAGGAGAGCAGAGTGTGGCAGAGCGTAACGCTTCGTGTTAGCTACTGGCTCTGGCTGTGGGCACTTCGCTGCTCAGGCCATCTGCTTAGATGGTGCACACGGAGCCCCCAGAGTGCACTGGGTGTGTTGCGGTGGCTGATTGATTCCGAAACCCGGTCTCCCTCTGCTTTGGTTTCCTCTTTCCTGTAGCCACCCATCGGCAGGATGATTGGGGGCTTGTTCAGAAACATGATGAGCTGCAGACCCACCTTTTCCTTCCTTTGCTGCTTGGGGTCTTCTGCCCACCCCCAGCTGAAGGTCGAGGCCCTTCAGCTCTTCCTTCCCAGTGGCCTTACCCAGGACATCCTTGTTTGGGGTTTGTCTGGTTGGGAGGCGGTGTTCTGTGAGACTTGTGAAACCAAGAATGCTTTGTAGAGAGGTTCCTCCTAAGGAGGCTCCTGTCCTTTCCAGTCCCGGAAACCTTGACTGATGGTTACAGACCAGGTGACCTCTGGGTGACCTTTAGGCTGAAAAGAGTCCAGCTTTGGGCTTAGGGATACCTGGAGGTCAACAGAACTATCCCTCTGCCTCGGGACTCCCACTGCGTGTGGCAGTAACCAGAGATCTACTTGTTCCCCCAAATTCTGGAGCCTGCCTTGACTCTCCTGGTTCATATATGCAGGATGTAGCACATAGTAGGTGTGCAGAGTTCATTCAGTTAGCAAGTATTCATTGAGGGTCTCCTGTGTGCCAGGCGTTGTGCTAGCATTCACTGAACTAGACTGACATATTCACTGCCTGCAGGGAGCTGACTGCCAAGTGGGAAGAGAGCTGATAAACAAAAATCTGGGTAATTGCAGAGTGTAAGAGCACTGCAGAGAAAACGAAGGCAGGTGGGCAGGTGACAGAGAACATGGGGGTGGCTGCTTTAGCTAGGGTAGTCCAGGTGTCATTTGAGAGGTGGCAGTCTGGAATGGTGGGAAGTAGCCCGGCCTTGGGGAAGAGTGTTCAGGTAGAGCGAATGGCACGTGCAAAGGCCCTGAGGTAGGAACAGGCGCAGCAAATATAAGGAGTAGATACAAGGCCAGTGAGATGAGGTCAGAGAAAGGCAGGGTCCCATTATCTGACCTTTGAAGGTCTTAACGTGTTGGATTTCATTCCTAGTGTAATAGGCCACCGTTGGCATGATACAATCTGACTTGTGTTTTAATAATAAAGTTGGACATTTACTGAGCACTTACTATATGCTAAACCCTTATATTTTTAATATCTATAATCCTCATCACAACCCTAGGAATTAGGGACTGTTACTAACTGTAGCTTACAGGTGAGGACACCAAGGCACAGAGAAGTCAGGTAACTCGCTCATGTTTACAGCTGGAAATTCAGTGCCAAGGTCAAGTTCTGGCTTGAGTCTCTACGCTTGACCCCGGGCCATGCTGCTCCCTGAAAGGTTCCTCAGACTGATGGGTGCAGAACTGGGGCCAGAGTGGAGGCTGGGAGGCCTGCAGCGAGCGGGAGCCTCTTTATCTGAAATCCTTCCTGCTCTGTAGCCCCTCAGGGTCTGGGGTCTCTCGGGGTCCTTTCCTCCCCAGCCTGCTGGTCCAACCAGCAGCACACCTCAGAGCGCCTGCCTGGCTGCCATGGCCTGTCTCAGGCTCTGTCCTTGTCTTGCAGAAGGACAAGTTCTGCGTGTATGAGGAATATTGCAGCAACCACGAGAAGGCCCTGAGGCTGCTTGTGGAGCTGAACAAGATCCCCACCGTGCGCGCCTTCCTTTTGGTAAGTTTACCCGTCATCCCTGTCCCTCTCTTCTGTTTGCTTCAGCCTCGTGCATCCTAAGGCATAAGAGAGCCACGCGCCGACACCCTCATGCTGACCCATGCCGCCCGCCCCCTTCTTCTGCTGGAGTGATCTCACTAAAGCAGCGGTTGCCAAACACTTTCTGTAAAGGGCCAGAGAGTGAATACATTCGCCTTTATGTGTCATACAGCCTCTGTCACGATTCAACTTTGCTGTTACAGCATAAAAGCACCCATAGATAACATGTTAAGAAATGAGCATGGCCGTGTTCCAGTGGAACTTTATTTACAAAAACAGGCAGAAGGCTGGGTTTGGCCCTAGGGACAAATTTGCCACTTCCTGGTCTAAAGTAATGATTCTAATGAGTGTGGTAGCAATAGTAGTCATGACTGTATTACTTGGGTTATTTAGTTATAAGTGAAAGAAATCCAGTTAAAATTGGCTTAAGCAACAAAAAAAAAAAAATTTTTTTTTTTTCCAAATTTACTGGTTCACTTTCCTGGGAAGTTTAAGATCTGAGAGGGCTTCAGGCATAGCAGCATCTGGGTATTCAGATGACTTCATCAGGAATGTGTCTCTTGACTCTGCTTTTCTCAGGCTGGCTCCGTTCCCAGGAAGGCTCTCCTCAGGGGGTGGCAGGCGGCCTGTAGCAACCCCACCTTTATACCCACCCATAGCGGAGAAACTCCAGGATATAGATAACTCCTCTTTCCCAATAGGAAGGCAGAAATCCTGGGTCTGATGATGCTCATTGGCTTCTCTTGGTTCAAGACCTTATCTCTGAACCAGTTGCTATAGATAGAGGGATTGGCTGGGGCTCTGACTGGTCACTTCTGGAGCTGGAGGGTGGGGCCCACTCCACACATACCACAGTCCCTAAGGGTGTGGTGGGTCCTTCAAGGACAGTTTGCTTGTTCTTGTGAAAGTAAGTTGGGAATGGAGGTTGATCAGGCAAAGAAATAGACACCCATGATGGTCTTCCCTACCACTGCGGGGAGCTTTGCTTATGTTGTAAGTAGGTTTCCATTTGCGATCTCCGTGGAGTTTTACCAGCTGCTCTCTGTTGTGTATGACTTAAGATATCCCTTTGTGTGCTTTACAGACATCCCAAATAACAGTGGTTTAAACAAAATAAGCATTTATTCCCCATATTAATAACATGATGTAGACAGTTTGGAGCTCCAGTGCCAGGGGCCGAGACCCTAGGTTGTGCCCTCATTGACATGGTCTGAAGTGACCTCTTAACCACTTCCACATTCAGGTGGGGTGGTGCAGGATGGGTGGGAAGGAAGGGCTGCCTTTTTTGCTTGTAAGGGCATGACAGGATGTTGCAGGCATCTCTTCTGCTCACACCCCATTGGCCAGAACTTAGTCACATGCCCATACCTAGCTGCAAGGGAGGCTGGGAAATGCAGGCTTTATTCTAGGCAGCCATGTGCCCACCTGAAAATCCTGTTGCTGTGTAAGAAGAATATTTGGGACACCTCAAGCCTTTGTCGAAGGTGATTTTGATGATTCCAAAATACTCAGCAACTTTCTAAGAGTACATATTTGAAAAATGAGTGAGCTTCTTATGGATTTGAATCCTGGTCTTTCACCTCTAATTCTCCCACTTATTCAGCATGCTGTTTTATTTTCTAACAGCACATTCAGCAAACAAAAGAACAGTTAACTGACCTTACATAAGGAGTGTTAACCACATGTCTAGAAAGCTAAACTATGTAATAAAATTCTCCATTGCACTTCTCCCTAATGCACAGTCTCCAACAAAGTATTTCCAGAATTTTGATTCACAAGTGTGTTTCCTTCACTTGTGAGTTCATGTTGCTTGGCCCTCTTCCAGTGAGCATCTGAGGAAGGGCAGGTCGGTTGACTGATTTTCCACTTTTGTCGCAGGTGATCTCAAGCATTCAGGACTGATGCTTTTCACTGCGGGTAGCTGCGTCTTTATGTTTCCGGCTTTGCACTTGTATTCCTAAAGGAGTCTTGGCAAAAAGCAAAAATAAAGACATATTGTGTCCACACACATGACCATGTGTCTGCAATGGACCTGGTGACTTTCAGTAGCACCACTTAGTGATGCTGCCCAGGCTCTGGGCTCGCTGGCTCAGAGCCCCACACTCCACGCATGTCCCTTTGGGCTCAGCGATGTCTTGGGAAGCAGAACGATATTTCTAGGGGTGTGGGAAGGGAAGGGCCTCCAATTTTCTCTTTCCTTCCTCTCTCTTTTGCAGCCTTCCCGGTGGACCAAACTGCCCTTTTCCTGGCAGCAGCTGGGCTGGGCCAGCTTGGCTGGGGGGAGGACGTGTGGGGTGCCAGCGCACGTGCCATCTGTCTCCCTCCTTGCTGGCATCTCCCAGCTTTTGGACACCTGCAGAAGCGTCAGCTCAGCCCGTCGTGGACTATTAAGGCGTCAGGAACAGACAGAATCTGGCTTTCCATTCATGACATAGTGTGCTAGGCACTAGCTGGAAGATGGGGCTGGAACTTTGTTTCTCTGTGCCTCCTTTTTCTTGTTTGTGAAATGGGGATCATTTATTCATTCAACAGCTTCTAACTGAGCACTTGCTGTGTGTTAGGGATCATTCTAAACACAGGGACACAACAGTGACCAAGGCAAGAATAGTTGCTACTATTGTGGAGTGGCTGTTCAACTAGGGGAGACTTACGTGATATTGCCACCTGGCATTAAGTTCTCTGCAGGAAATAAAGTTAAGGACGACAGGATGTTTTGAGGGGTTAGGGTGGTACCTGCTATTTTAGATTGGTCTTTGGGAAAGTGATGCCTTAGGTGATATCTCGGCAGAAACCTGGATAAAGTAAGAGACAGAGGCAAGGAGTACTGGGTGGGGTGGGGTAGCTTTACAGGTAGAGGAGCTGCATGTGCAAAGGCCCTGAGGTAGGAACATGTTTGAGGAATTGCTGGAATGGAGAGTAGAAGAGGAAGAGTGCAAGGAAGTGAGGTCAGAAAGATTGAGAGGCCAGGCAATGATGGTGCATTTTAGGTAATGGAAAGGATCTGAGATTTTTACGAAGTTTTTTTATTGCAGTCCAGCATACATGCAGAGATTGTACTCACAGCATGATGTGTATTTACATTATGTGTACACCCATGAAACCATCACGCAGGCCAAGATTTAAACATTTCCATCACTGCAGAAGGTGCCTCCTCTGCCCCCAGAGGTAACCTCTGTGCTGATTTCTCTCACCAAACCTTAGCTTTGCCTGTCCTGGAATTTTTCACGACTGGAATCATACCGGATGCTTTTGCGTCTGGCTTCTTCTGCTCAACATAACGCCTGTGAGATCCGGCTGTGTTGGAGCAGGAGGCAGTACTTTGAATAGAATATTCAATTTTAGTTCTCGTGGGATGGGAAGCCCTGGGAGGGTTTTGAGCAGAGGACTGACTTGGACCGCTTTGCGCTTCGGAAGGCCCGCCCTCTGGCAGTGTGAGGGTGGGGGGCGGGGTGCTGGTATAAGTGCCCTGGGGCGGTTACAGTGACCACACGCTGGGTGGTTTACAGCAATAGATTTATTGTTTCTCAGTCCTGGAGGCCAGAAGACTGGCATCAGGTGCTGGCAGGTCTCTGCTCCCTCCGAAGGCTCTAGGGGAGGGTCCGGCCTTCCCTCCTCCGGCCCCCGGTGGGCTTGCCTCGTGGACGCACGATTCTGGCCTCTGCCTCCCTCTCCTGTGGCCTTTTGCTCTGGTCCTCTCTCTTCTTACAAGGACGTGAGTCAGTTGATGTAGGGCCCACGGAGTCTAGTATAACCTCATCTTAATTTAACGAATTATGTCCCTAAAGGCCCTATTTCCAAATCAGGTCATACTCTGAGATTCCGGGTGGGTGCGGCATTTGGGGGGCAGCCCAGGCAGCTGGTGTGGTGAGGACGAGGCGGTGGTGCAGGAGGTGGTTGGAGTACTAGAGAGTTTGGGGGTCCAGCAGGCGCACTTGCAGGCTTGCTTTTGGGGACCTGGACAAGAGGAGTCAAAGGTGACTCCAGAGTGGGGGGCCCAAACGACAGGAAGGAAGGAATTGAAGTTTCCCGAGATGGTGAGGGCTGGGTGAGGCGCAGGTAGAGGGGAAAACTAAAAAAGGCCATTTTGGATGGGTGAGTTTTAAGGTGCCCCTTAGACATCCAGGTAGGGATGTGAGCCTGGAACCAGATCTCTGAGCCTGGGGTTTAGGGGAGGGGGGAGGGGCCATGTGGAGGGAGAAATCTGCGTGTCAGCAGACAGGATGGTGTTAGGGTGTTGGGTCTGGGTGAGGTCAGCCAGGGAGCGGTGTGGGCAGGGAGGGTGACCAGGACCGCGCGGGGCCTGCCGCCACAGGAGGTTGGGAAGTTGCGGAAGCTGACCACCTCACCTGGATCAATTCTGTAAATGAGGAAGCTGTAAGGGGAGAATTCTCAAAAGTTCTTCCCATAGTGCCTGGAGTGCGGTCTTCATAGTGAATGGCAGCCCTGTGTGTGTTTGCTTGCTTTCTTTTTAAAAAATGAAAATCAAGTGAAACAACGCTCCAGGGTGTCTGGGAGAGGTACAGTTGGTGGCGGTGACCAGTCCTGTGAAAACTCATTGATTCTGGGCAAAGAGGCAGGCCTTTCTTTGGCTAAGCCCTGGGGGGCTTCTGGAAAGCCCTTCCCCGCCCCCAGGCTCCCCTCTCTCTGCCCAGAGCTGACATCACCGGGGCAGCTTGTGGGGAGTTCTGGCTCCGAGGACAAAGGCCTGAGTGTGAGCGGTGTGGGGCCTGGCATCTCCCAGCTGCTGCAGCCCTGATCCCCCATCTGTGCCCGGGGTGGGCACGGGGGTGGCGGCCACGCAGCTCCCTCCACAGCAGGGCCCCGGGGTCCCTGGGGTTCTGCTGCTCCTAGGACAGGGCCATTAAGCTGAGTCTTGGACCAGGCCTTTGGGCTCTCCGTGCCAGCTTCCCCGTCTGGGTAGGGAGACAGCAGTCCACGTGCTGACCCGGGGCCGTGAGGATGGACCTGACCGGTAGGTGAAGCACAAGGCACAGCGCCTAGTGCGTTGTGAGTACACGGTAAATTCTCTGATCTTATTCTCACCTCAGTAAAGCCGGACACCTGCCTTGTTGGGAAGTTCCCCCGGTGCTTGGAACTGCGCCCAGCACAGAGTGAGCACATGATGTGAATTTTTCGAGTGAATGATAGAATGGTAGTCCCTTTTCCCAAGAGTCCTGCTTCATTTCCCATTTGCTAGTGTGGTGTTGAGGAGGAAGGCTGAGACCCTTCCATTGCTGGATGTGCTGGCAGTTTTTTCATTCATTGGTTCATCCATTCACTGATGCCGTCATGCATACATTGGGCACATTGTCAGCCGTCGGGACCGAGGACTGTGAGGGGGATGGTGGCTGCCACAGACACCTACGTAACTCGTGATTCCTGGCATCCAAAGAACGGATTCTGAAGTTGGAGCCTCTCCAGAGGAAAGGACAATACCTGCATGGGATTTTTCACCGCATGGAACGAATGACCTGCTATGGAGGTGCCAGGAGGAAAGAGTGCTGGGAGCTGGGAGATGATGAGACAGGCTCCCAGGAGGCGGGGTGGCTGGGCTGGCCTTGAGGAGTGTTGGGCAGGTGTAGCCCGCTGGGTGTAGATGCCACCTCTGTGGCTCCCTTGTTCTGGGCTCACCCTGAGGAGAAACACCAAACCTTCCCAACCCCAGGTGTCTGAACTGTGAAGTGGGAGTAAGAGTAGTGTTTGGTTCATAGGGCAGTTGGTGGTCAGGGTTAGAGCCGCCAGGGACCTTCTGGGCACATCACAAACTCTCGGTCAGTGTAAGCTATGGATGAGGATAATAATATATTTATTATTGCCGGGGGGAGTAAAAGCATGTTAGGCAGGGGGTATAGAGTGAGCGCAGGAAAGGGGCTGGCATGAAGGGAAGACTGACGTGGGTGGCCACATCGAGGTGACCGGTGCGGCCAGGAGCTGGTGGGTGAGTGTATTCGATTCCTGAAGAGTTGCTGTCTTTACTCTGCAAACCAAAACATAGGTGCCCCTGCGGCGCTCACGTCCCCACCTTCCAGGTAGAGAAATGAATTGAAGCCTTTTCAGTAACAGTTGGAGATGGCAAGTTCATTTTCCAAATCTTGTAACCCTCCTTCCACAGAGGTAATTCCCGCTAGGTTTTGGTCTGTTGTTTCTTTCCCATACGTGTCTTTATATTGTGCTACAGACCAGCTCTCTATAACCAATACCTAATTTTGTTTTGTGTGCTTTTAAAAGCTTTAAATGGATCATGCAATACATATCCTTTGTTTTGCCCCTTTTTTTTTTTTGCTTAGAAGTTTGTTTCTGAGGTGCATCCACGTAGCTCTAAGCAGCGTTGGTTCCCTCACTGTCACCGCGGTGCAGTGAGCCGTTGTACGAAACTCCTGCGGACATATTTTTCTATTCTTCAATTGATGGGTATTTAGGTTGCTTCCCCTTTTTTTCCTATTCCAAACAAGCAGTTTTGAATGTCCATGTTCCTGTCTCCTGGGGCGTGTTGTCTGTGAATGTTCCTTAGACCAGAGATTGGTAGTCTTGTCTGTGAAGGGCCAGGTAGTAAATATTTCAGGTTTTGGGACTTTGCGGTCTCTGTTACAACTACTCAGCTCTGCCATGATTGCGTGGAGGCAGCCGTGGGCAGGATGTAAACAACTGGACGTGGCCATGCTCCAGTAAAATGTTAATTACTGAAATAGGGACTGGGCAGGGTTTGGCTCACCTCTGGTGGAGGCCTTATGCTGGATTGTAGAACCCAGGGTGGGACAAAAGTAGGTTTGCAGTTGTGAGGATGTGAAACACAGTTTATTCTTGTGTTATGATTTATATTGATTATTCCATTATTTTCCATGCAGACAACTGCAAACCTACTTTGGCCCCACCCTGTGCGCACATTTCCACCTCTGCTGGGTGTTGCCAAATTGCTTCCAAAGTCTAGCTGCATTTTGAGAGTGCTTCCCATCGTTATTTGAGGGTGGCCCGATCCTTTTGCTGTCCTTGGTGAGTTTTAACGATGGTCTCCTGTCCCTTTGCAGAGCTGCATGCTTCTGGGAGGACGGAAGACCACGGACATCCCTCTGGAGGGCTACCTGCTGTCTCCAATTCAGAGGATCTGCAAGTACCCCCTCCTCCTCAAGGTGAGGCCTGTGCCCACTCCTTTCCCCATATCTGACAGAAAACCCAGCTCTGATTGGCTTAATCGTAAAACAAAACTTGTTCATTCAAGTAGCTACCTCTGGAGCAGCGTTGGCTTTGGGCCGGGCTGGATCCTACCAGGACCCTGCCTCTTGCTCGCTTGTTCAGGTCTGCTTTCAAGTGCTCAGCTTTATTTCCATTGTGGTAGCAGAGGGCTGTAGTGACTCTGGCTCACACCCTCTCAGGTTCAAGGACAGTGGGAAAGAGGGAACCTCTCCTCTCATAGCTCCGACAGGAGTCCTGAGGGCGACTCAGGCTTTGGCCATCTGTGGCTGGGGGAGTGTGATATTCTGAATTGTTTGGGCCTGAGTCGTGTGCTTTAACCTGAACCAATAACATGAGCTGGGCAGTGTTAGGCTCTGATTGGCTAAGACATGGTCCAGTGACTGCGCAGGGCAATACTGTGTTCTGATTGGCTGACATTGGGGTCAGGTCCTTCATACCTAAACCAATCACTCTGAGCAAGAGATCTCTAATTGGCTTAGATTTGTGTTTACCAGTCACTGAATCCCACAGGCCAAAAGCCCAGTGAGGGGGACACACTGGACCCTTCTCACCAAAATCTGGGCTATTTGTGCAAGAGGGTGGGCAGATGCTGGGTGGGCAAACCACAGCATCCACATCCTGCTGTTTCCTTTCCTGTCCAGCCACCTTTGACTTAGCCTTGGTCAGGCAGACCAGGACAAGGCTGGCTGCTTGTGTGGGGACCCACAATGTCTTAATTGTCAGCTTCGTACCTGGCTTCTGGGTAGGTCTCCAGCTGGGTGGCTGGCTCTGTCACCATCTGCTGCTCTCAGCCCAGGGTTTTCGGCCCTTGGAAATGGTGGCCGATGGCCCAAGCCTGCCCTGGCTCTATCCTGAAGGCCTTGTGTCTGACAGCTGTCCCTGGAGTCCCTGCTGGTGGATTAGTTTGGCTCGTGGTGCCTCATTCACACACCTGCTCCCTGGGGTCACATGCATCCTCGCTTTATGAACTGGAAGGGAGAGGGGAGGGAAAAGTACTAGGGAATTCTTGAATTTGACTTTCTGCTGGATCCGGTGGGTGACACTTGAGCCTCTGACTGGCCCAGACCCCTTGGGGCCATCAGCGCCGCCCGCGAACACAGGCCTGTCACGTGGGCAGCGGTCGGGGGTGGCACCCAGCTCTCCGCACACATCTCCTGGCCCTCCAGGGATCTCAGAAGGACTTTCTGCAGTGCTCCTTGCAGCTGCTTGGATTCCAAGGGGGTGTTGGTGATGCCATATGTGCCTCGGCCCTTCACTTTGGTACAGAAGAAGCTCCACGCAGAACTTGTAAACCAGTAGCCTGTGGACTGAATCGGACCTGCGTGTGTTCTTTATTTGACCTGTTTGGTGTGTCTTCCACATGTGAAGTAGCTGCCAGCATTTGAAGAGGTAGACTTCTGTGTTGGCTTGAGGCAGGGGCCTAGCAAAAGTGTGGCTCATGGGTCAAATCTAGCCCCTGGCCTGTCTGTATACAGCCCATGAGGGAAGAATGGTGTTTACATTTTTTAAAGTGTTATAAAAAACAAAACCAAAAAACAAAGGAGACTATGTGACAGCAAATGTGGCCAGCAAAGCCTAAAATGTTTACTCTCTGGGCCTCCTCTGAAAGAGTTTGCTGACTCCTAGATTAGAGCCGTGCTTCGCAGCCGCGGGCTGCCTGGGTGCCTGGGTTTGAATTCCAGCTCTGCCTTTGACCAGCTGTGTGACCTTGGGCCAGTCACTTCTTCATGCCTCAGTTTCTCATCTGGAATATGTAGTTTGTATTAATAGCTTGGACTAGGTTGTTGTGATGATTAGACATTTATTTATGTAAATCTTAGAGCAGCCTAATGACGTAGGCGCTTTGATTAGCCCCACTTTAGAGATGAGGCAACTGAGGCGCAGAGAAAGAAGTGGCCTACTCAAGGCCACACATCAGCTGAGGAGGAGGAACCATGGCTTGCTGATTCTAGAATTCCCCCATCAGCCCCACTGCCTGTTGAGAAGCGCTTGGAGGTGTTAAAGCTGCCAAAGTGGCTGGGTGTCGGGTCTGCTGACCTTCTCGGTTCCCTAAGTGGGGAGTCTGGGAAGGTCTGTAGCCTTGTGGTTCATGACTCTGTGACAGATCTGCTCCTCCTCTCCTGGGTTTCAAAACCTTAAACATCTGACCCATTAGACGAACCACCAGCTGCGGTTCCCTAGGTGCTAACCTTTTGGTTTCCGGATCTTGGGAATGTCCGGGATCCCACCATGCACCTGGAATGGCAGTTTCTGTATTTTAATAGCCATTGGGGCTGGACCTGTGTGTACGAGTGGACTCTAGCTCTCAAGGTGGGGCCCGTGCATTTCCGAGGTCTGCTCAGCCCCAGGGGCTGCCGTTTGGTCTGGCAGGATTTCTGGGCTCCGGATTCCCAGAAGAGTAGGGGGAGAGAGGGGAACAGAAGCAGCCGGCAACTGCTGGAGGAGAGACTGCCCTCAGGAAATGGTGATGAAGCCGGGCTGTGGGTTTGCTCTCTGGACCGAATGACTGTTTACAGGCCCTGTTTCCTCGGTCTCCAGCTGTGTTTGTCTGAGGCTCGGCGAGCACTGGGGGACCAGCCAGCAGGGCCCCAAATTCCTGTGGGCCCGTGCCATGCTGCCCGCCCGACTGACTTGCCCAGAGTGTCTGGCCTTTGGCACCCACAGCTGGAATGTTTGCAGCAGAAAACAGCTGGGACACTGAGGGGAATCTTCGTACCCCTCCTGAGTTCCTCCTTTCTGTCACATTTTCCAGTGGGTTTTAAAAGACAGTCTTATGAGCTGCGGGGCAGTTCCCCCACTGTGGCCCCTCCGGTTCTGACGTCCTCACAGATGTCCCTGTGGGCCTGTGAGCCCCCTTGTTTGAGCTGAACCCTGAATCGAGTGGGCGAACAGGATCGAGGGGCCTGGGTGGGAAGAAGGAAGAGGCGAGAATGAAAGCCTCTTTGGGAACAGCCCCAAAAAACTGAACTTGAACATTGCCTAAGAATAGCCGGAACATTCTATTTCAGCCTTCAGCCCAGCCCTGGGATAGACAGTTGGCATTTTCAAGCTTTGTTGAGTTTTCCATCAACAGTTCCAGGGAAATGATTCATATTTGGGGTAATGCCCCTGGTGTTCGACTGGCAGGTGCCCCAGGCGAGACCGAGTGTCACTGACCCTTCTAGGTCTGGCGATGCACCGATCTTATTGGGACTGGGCTGGTGTGGCTCAGGACCCCTAGTCATGAGCAGGACAGGCCTCAGGGCTTTTGGCCTTGGACTGGGCCCCACGAGGGCCTGCCTGCTGCATAATGGAAGCGGGGAAGGTAGGCAGGGGGCAAACCGGAGGGTACACCCATCTAATGGGCACCGCTGGCTCCCCAGTGCCCCTGCGCCCCTTTGCCTTCTCCTTCTCTAACCCTTCAGCCTCCTTTGCTGGTTCCTCACCTTCCTGGCCTCTAAGCCCAGGTCTCAGTCCTTGGTCCTTGACTCTATCTAGACTTGCTCCTTTGAGGCCTTATTTACTCTCTGGCCTTTAAAAAAAAAAAGTATATTCAGAAGTTGTGCAATCATCACCATAATAATTTTAGAGATATTTTCATTGCCTCCTAAAGAAACTCTGGACTAGTCACTTCCCTTTTCCCTCCGCTCCCCCACCAGCCCCTGACACCACACATGTACTTCCTGTCTCTCTGGATTGCCTGTTCTGCACATCTCACATAAATGGAATCCTGTAATATCTAACCTTTTGTGTCTGGCTTCTTTTACTTAGCACGGTGTTTTCAAGGCTCCCCATGCTGTAGCATGGGTCACAACTTCATTCCTTTTTATGGTTGAATAATATTCCACGGTGTGGACAGACCATGTTTTCGTTGTCCGCTCATCTGCTGGTGGACATCTGGGTTGCTGGCCCACTCCTTGGCTGTTAGGAAGAGGGCTGTCATGAACATCCGCCTACAGGTTTTTGTGTGGGCGTTCCCATGGCTTTCAATTCCATCTCTGTGCCAATGACTTCCAGCCTGGATCCGTCCACTAACCTCAGGCGGGACTTTTCTTCTGCCCACTCAGCTTTTCCACTTGGATGTCTAACAGGCCTCTCCTACCTACCCCATCCCAGACCAAATGCTCTCCCCTTCCTCCAGACCTGTCTTTCCTCTCCCCACTCCACCTTTGAAAATGGCCTCTCTTCTTTCTGGTTGCTCAGGCCAAAGCCGGGAGCTCTCTCTGGCCTACCCCACACCCAGTCCATCAGGGAGCCCCGTGGGCTCTGCCCGCAGGTCCCTCTGGAGTCCAGCCCTTGCGGCTCCTCCGCTCCACCTCTCTCCTGGGCTGCTGCCACAGCTCCCGGCGGGCTTCCCTGCCTCCACCCTTGTCCCCTACAGTCTCTTCTCGTCTCAGCAGCTAAACCCAACTCAGTCCCTGTCCCTTCTTCACTCAGATCCCTCCAGCGGCTCCCCGCTCACTCAGGTCTAAATCCAGATTCCTCTCCATTGCCGCCCGCAAGGTGCTGCACATCTCATCTGCGTTTCCTGGCACACAGTAGGTGCCTCCCAGTTACTCATTGAACGACTATGGAAATGCCATCCTAGAAATGTTACCAGCTGTTTCTGAATCCGTAACTTGGGACTTCCAGGTGAAAGCTCCAGATTTCCAAACGCCAGCCTGATCTAAAACTTGTCACACACTTCGGGGGCCATTCAGGCCACAGCGTCTGCGTGGGGCAGCCGCCGCAGCGGCGTGTGCCAGGGCCGCTCTGCAGAAGGGCTGCTCAGGGTGCAGCCGGGGGCTCTGCACAGTCCGTGGTGTCTTCTCCGCCTTCCACGCCCTTCTGAGGGTGATGCAGCTGTCACCCGCACTCGGGGGAGGACCTTGCCATTCGATCGACAGTCACCTCTGTCTCTTTGGTTGTCAGCATAGTGGCGCCCCTGGGGATGGATGTGGTCCATCACGCAGGAGGC